TAACCAGGACTTTTAACCAAAGGTCAACTCAATTAGGAAATTACAAGAAGACAGGGATGGTCTTAATAATTCTGGGGTCCAGGGCGTGAGTCCAGGACAGGGCCCCAGAATCACTGCTGCCACCACTGTTCCTACATTGTGGCTAAGCAAAGGGTGGCCTTCTCCCTGTGTGATGTGGGTGGGAGCTGCTGCTGCTGCCAGTGAAGCCAGCTTGCCTGAGCCCTAGAAACAGGATTCATGAGAGACAGCAGGCATCTGCTCTGATTCTCTTTTCCTGTCCTTAGCTGAGGCTGTAGGTGGTTGGGCCCCTCCTGCATGAGACCTGGGGTCTGCCCTTATTGCTCATTGACTTAAGACCACCCTGATAAGAAGACTGAACCTTAACTAGAAAGCAAGACCCACTGATTTCTGTACAACTTATTTGCAAGAAAGGGGTCAATTCAGCCAAAGATTAGGACTGATTTGTATTTTTTTAACCTGCTTTTTATATTTATGCATTAGTTGAAGCTGCAAGCCATTGCTTTTTAATGCTTCTGACCAGACTTCACCCTGTAGACAGCTTGCTTATCCTCAGCTATTAAACAAATAAAAGGTAGGGGGAAAAGTCACCTCCTTACTTGATAGCACAATAGCATTTTCATCATAAAATATAATAATGTTGAGCTGGTTTTGGCTCCAGGGTTACTATTGGAAGACACCCTTACATTGCAGGTGAAAAGATTCAGGCCCTTTCGCACCTATCTTCCCCCCCCAGTTTCGGAGCACATTTCAGTCTTCTGTTTTGCATTCCCTCCCACTTTGTGTTGGGGGCTTTTCTTGGTTTGCATTTATTTTAGGGGGATCAGCACTCAGACCACTTCCAGCACACTGTTTTCCTGCACTTCCCAAAAGTGCTTTTGCTGCAAACCTTTGTTCTGTTTTGAATTTAATAATACTATTTAAAGTAAAATTGTTTCTGCAAATATTTAAGCAATGCTCATTGCCCTCTGCTGTTTCGGCCTCTCTGTTTGGTTTATGTTAGATGGTCAATTTACATGATAACAGGTTTCCTCATGGGCAATTGCTGAACATTTACATTTGTTTAGAGTCTGCAGCGGTTTGGAGGATGGGAGACCTACTTGAAAAACCAGTTTTTCAAGAAGCACTTCTAAGCCAAACAGCTTTGATCACAAACATTTCCCTCAAACCAAAAACGGATGCATGGATTGATGATTTGCATTTTTATTTGATACTAAGTGTTGATAATTGTATATTATCCCTGGGTTATTCCCATTACATAATGTTTGTAAACATTGCCCTGTTAACACTGAAATGCCTCATCCACTCAATGTCATTCCGATTTTCCTGGAAGAACTCCTCCCACCAGCCAGGGCTCTGTGTAAAGGAAGAGAGAACACGGGGCATTGAAGGGAAGGGAGAAGTATCATGCTGGCGCCTTGGCTACACATGTGGTGACATTTTCTGTGAGATGCCCTGTACATAAAAATCACAAATCGTATGTGCCACAAGAATGCTTATTTATTTATTTTTCATATTTGTATCCCACCCATCCCATGAGCGGGCACAGGGTGGGTCACATCATCTTAAACAATATAATAAGGTTTAAAACACAATAAAACATTACATTATAAGCATTTAAAATCAGTAGTTATAGCTGCTGGTGCAAATTCCGACCCATTAATACTGATTGTTATGGCCGTTTGCTGGCAGATGGGTGGCCGGCAGGTAGGAGACAGCAACCTCGGGGAGGCCATATGTGGATGCCCGCTGCCTCAACCAAAAGCCTGGCGGAACAGCTCCATGTTGCAGGCCCTGCGGAACTGAGTAAGATCCCGCAGGCCCTGATCTCAATGGGGAGCATGTTCCACCAGGTGGGGGCCAGGGCAGAAAAGGCCCTGGCCCTGGTCAAGTCTAAACGGATGTCTTTTGGGCCAGGAACCACCAGGAGACGTTGATTACTAGAGTGTAAAGCTCTTTGAGGCATATACGGGAAGAGGCAGTCCCAGGCCATATAAGGCTTTGCTAAACAATACTTTT